ATCCGCGCCTAAGTGCGGTCCTTCACTTCCCTTCAAGAGCACATTCAATCTCGTGATGTGCTACACGGGCGCTGTCCCTGAGTTGTAAGGTGTAGGCCTCAAAACTGGACGGCCAATCGATATCCCCTTCCCCCCCCCCAACCCAGAAGGTGAGCATAATATTCGCCCTGAGTGACAATTTGTGCTGAATTTCAAGGCAGACCTCATACTTGCACAGGAACAAAGTCGTATTCCTCGCGAAAAGTGCTACAGATTATGCAAAATTCCAAAGCAGTGACGTGCACCCTGTGGACACCTGTTTCCTTTCCGCAAAAGTGGCCCTGATTGGGCAAAAATTAGGGTTTTCCGGTAGGGACTGATCCCTGAGTATATATCTGCCCTTTAAGTTAAAACACTGAAATATTCTTTTGACGTTATCACTAGTGGACCATCAGCTTTCCCTCCTTCAGTTCTACGATTACACCATATCAGAATCTTAAGCTGATTAATAAGTGTGAACATGACTGAAGAGTTATAGTGGGTCGACCTTCACTGGTTTGGCTTTAACGCCACCTAAAATAAGCCAAAATAATCTTTCGAGTGCCCTTCTAAATTTGGGCCCGGGCTCATAGATGTCTTCAGATGGCTTTTTCTGCTGTCATGGGTAAAATCTGCAAGATAGGCTACATGTCCGCCCCCAGCAAGTCAACCATTAAAAACAGGACATGTAGATAGAATCGTGTAATTCGAGGAGCCAGCAATATCAAAATGAAGTCCATGGACGTAACATTCGTCCATGCGTCCTGACAGTGGGGCGGCATTCAGACGCTAGAGGTTGTTTTGAGACCCGATGACCAGTCAGGCCGACCGTGAAATCTCAGGCCATGTTAACCTGGAGTTTGCGCTAGACCGGTTGATGTTGACGACACCCAGAAGTGAAAATGTTGCTCTTCCTAACCTTTGTCAGTGCTGATTACCGATAACGTACGTTGTCACTCTGATTAATATCGCATTAACGGTAAATATGGGTGAACATTCACAATGCGTTTTTGTATTGACAGTCTAATGCACTCATGGATGAACGATCTACTTATGTAGTCTGCAGTGTGAATATAGCGTCAAAATGTTGCTGCATGTAGAAACTTATTTTGATTAATGGCTTAGGCACTTAATAATTGATATAAACGTCCTACTTGCTTTTGCAAAGTCATGTCCTAGACGCCTCGATGTCGCAAAAATCTGGTAACCCAGCACTACCGAGGCCCAGAGCAGAGAAATTCAGTCCTGTCTTATGACCCGAGCCGACGGAGAAGGCAGTAACCAGTGGTTGTCATGGAAAAATTTGGTTTATGGAGCAGCCGAAAAATTCTTGGGTATTCCTAGCGACGCCGCAGCGACTGGATTAGCGGAAGGACACTGCAGTGGTCTGCTCAGACGGCTCGATCCAGGCCCCGTAATGATAATTCCTTTTGCCAAACTCGAAAGATGACGGCAAAGTCGGCCAGGGATGATCGGAAACAATATCGGGCTCGAATTGCGACCTCCATTGAACAGGCCTCGAATGCTGGTAACACTCGAAAACTTTACCAACTTATCCGCCAAGTTAGTGGTACGCCATCTGCACTTAGTGACTCTGTTCGCGACGGGAATGACGGCTTTATTGTTGGAAACTCGGCCAAAGTCGAGTGATGGCATGAGCATTTCAAGCACCATGTCCACCTCGATACCCAACCCACCTCGTCCTTTCTCTCCTCTGCAGCGGAGTTTCTTCCCTCTCCAGCCTATACAGTGTCATGCGGCCCCCCTTCTAAAGAAGAAGTCGCCGATGCCATATGAGGGTTACGCAACAATAAGGCACCCGCAGAGGACGGTATGCCCGCTGAAATCTACAAGTCGTGTCGACACTGACGTCCTGGCTCCATGAGATGGTTGAAAAAGCGTGGAGAAACGAGTTTGCTCCTGGTGACTGGGTCTCAGGCATCCTTGTACCTTTCCTCATGAAGGGAGATATGACAAGATGCAAGGACAACTACGGCATAAGCCTCATCGACGTTGCTGCAAAGATCTTTGCCATTGTCCTACTCAGGCGATTCCGGGCCGTGTGTGGCTCTAGAACAAGGCCAAACCAAGTCGGACCCCGGGCGGACGTGGACGTGCAGACCAGATATTAACACCGAGGCGCTATGGTTACCAGCGGCCGACGGTCGTCTGCTCTCTCAACTTCGCCGTCTATCATGAGCCCCTGAGGCGGATAATGGAACTAAATGGCGTACTGGCAAAAATTATCGCCATGATCAATGCCTATTATAGCTCCACCACCGAGCAAGTCCTGGTCCGTAACCACCTTTCTCAACCGTTTGGTATTCGGTCTGGCATTCGACAAGGTTGTATCCTGTCGCTCATTCTGTTCAACTACGCCATTGCCTGAATTCTCGGGAGGGCCCTACACGAAGGTGGCAGTGTTGAGGTTGCACCTAGGCACCGCCTGACTGATCGCGACTATGCTGATGATATCGCCTTACTCGCTTCAAGTTTTGGTGATCTGCAGTCTATGGTTTCACGAGTGAACGAGGCTACTAAATCGGTCGGTCTATCTGAAAACGTTGGAAAGACAAAAGTGTTTTCAAGCTGCATCCCTGACCAGGAGAAGGTTCCTCTCGGGATTGATGGCTGCCAACTTGAAGAAGTAGGCAGTTTTAAATATCTCGGGCGAGGCTGCTGCTAATTAGACAGAGTAAGGACGACATTGTCTCCCGAATTAATGCTGCCCGACCGGTTTTCTCGAGCCTTAGGAAAAGCCTATGAATCCGACGCGACATCTCCACCGCCACTGAGATTCGCGTGTACCGTGCATCTGTTCAACCTGCCCTTCTCTATGGTTGTGAATGCTGGGCTGTGCACGTGAAGGAAGAGTAAAAAATGGAGGTATTTGGCCACCACTGTTTGAGGACCATTCTGCGAGTTAACTACATTGACTTCCTCTTAGATGAGACGGTCCGCACTCGCTGCAACAGCATCGCAAGGATAACCTAGGCCATCTAAGGGTGGTTTGGGCATGTTCTTCGTCGTCCATTTCAGGAGCTCAGCGTTACTGCCCTCAATCCGGCACCGTTAGCCCATTGGTGGCGTCGAAAAGGGGGACAACTCAGTCTCCCTTGACACAGTCCGTCAAGATATAGAGGTGGTTTTCGGACCTTCGGTATTCGGTCTCCGTCATTGGCGAGGAGAATGGGTTGAAATATCTAGGTCTGCCGCCGCGGATCGTCAGGTGTGGAGAGACAGTTCGGGACATCATCGAGGACGGCTAGATCGGGCATGATAGCAGCCGTACCAAGTAGAAAAAAATTCGTGACCGAACAGGACTCCAACACCTGCTTCGCCGTGCCTGATGCCTTTTTCTTCGAAATTGGTAGTCTTCAATGCAGCATTTGGCAGACATATCCTCCTACCACATCGGTGGCTATGTGAGTCATCTCGCTTGTATATTGACCTGAAAGCAAAGGTCTATAGTTAACAGAAAAAACGAAGACTCCCGTTCGTTGAATTCATCTACTTCGTGCAAAGTTCAATTGTTGGCCAAACTGGTAAAAGTTAGGCAATTTAATGTTGCGCCCATGTTGGCAAGTTCCGTCTGGAGGAGAGGACTAGCTAACTTTCGACACATAAAACCAGAACGGAGACGATTTGCCATTCCAAAAGCCTGTTCACTTAAATAAAATACGTCTCGAAATCACAAGCAACACTTTGGTTTTTAAAATTCTAGGCGTTATCATCTTTGAAGGCCATTAGATACCGGCTGGTCGTCTCAGCATGGGTTTCTTAGCAGGTCTTCCACATATAACTTGGAAGTTAAATCAAACACATAAGTGTAATGAAAAAAGAGAAGACTCTTCGGAAAATCGAGTTGTACTCATGAATTTCCAAATTGGTGACACCAACCCTGTCACGCCAACCGACCTAGTCTGCTGATCTTACTTTCTCCGCTGTTTATTTCGTCTGACGACGGGCTGGTGTCGCCAACTTGGAAATTCACGAATACAACTCGACTTTCTGAAGAGCCTTCTCTTTTCTTACTATATCACCTCGGAATGCGCACCACGTCAGTTATTCAACAAGCAAGTGTACCGCCCGATATAGTGTCCACGAAATCCAAGATGTCATACCCCAGCTGATAAATTTCTTGAAGAATTTAAAGCGCAAGAGATACTGTAAATAGGCCGTAGGGAGTGCAATTACAGTCTCCAATTGAAGATGGCGTAACTTTAGAGTAAACCATCGAGAGAGCGCTCTAGTTGAGCCACAAACAAACGACTTAATTGTCACTAATTGTCGGGACAAGATGCCTCACCTCCCGATCTGACACGAAAACATGGGTACCTTAAGTTAAGTTATGAAGTGCGGTCGGCTGGAACGAGTAGGTCTCTGGGGACAAACTTGCCCAGACATGCGAGGTCCCGTAGCTGAAATTGTGTATGCAAAGGTGCATGGAAACGTCTACATATCTGGCGTAGGTATATACTTTGATGACTAACGTGATCCTTTTTGCGTTTATCGACCAGAGACCAGCCTAATATGCGCACCACTGCTTAGGAATCTGAATCAAAGCACTGCTAAATGAGGGCGCTGGAAGGGTAAATCTGACAATATCGAAAAGCCGCAACATCCGGGTCTCGCATATCTTCTACAATTTGAGAAGTAAATGAAAGTTGGAATCTTGAGACGATTTCCAAGTGAGCGTAAGCTGATTTCGCGTCATTTAGTAAGCTTTCTAAAAAGTCAAAACTTACGATGGGGAGGAAATGTCGAACGAGCTACAAAACGATTGGGAACGGTTTTGAAGATGTAGATAACCGACGGAGGCGTGGCGAACACGGCAAATTTGGCAAAAGAAGGAACGAATTGCGTATATACATAAACTTATGAAGTGATATGTACAGAAAAGGTTTAAAACAAAGCCAGTTTTTGCTAACCCAGAATTCCACCAAACAATTTCCAATATTAATACATATTCGTTTTTTTCATTATCCGCAAAAATTCCTCCTCGTTAACTTCGCCATCACCATCGCGATCGGCTTCATCGATCATTTCCTGGAAGTTGTGAAAAGTATTTGAAGTACCTGCAACTCTTCGTCGGTCAGATTCTCACCCAATTCCTTGGCAACACGCTTGAGGTTTTTGAAGGATATCTTCCCTGTCTCATCATCGTCAAACAGATGAAAAGCTTTTAGGACTTCTTCTCGGGCATCTTTATCTTGCATCTTTACTGACATCATTCGATGAAAATCTGCATACGCTAGCTGACCTATTGGATCTGTTAAGGCTGAGTTAGCGTGGGGAACCTTTAGCCTCGGGATCGTATTCGGAAATTAGTCTCTTAATCTCCTCTTTCTTCGGCTCAAAACCAAGTGCTCGCATGGCAACTTTTAGGTCCTTAGTGTCGATAAAACCAGTTTTATCCACATCAAACAGGTCAAACGCATCTTTAATTTCCTGCGTCTAAAAAATTAGAATATTCATATAGATTATAGGAGGTGCAGAACCTCGGCAGCAGCGTTTGGCCTTGATGCGAAGTCTGATTGTTTTTTAGAATGAACTGTGCCTGCTGGTCTCTTCGAGATAGTGGACTAAACAGAAGACAATTGAATTGTAGAGGACAAACCTACCATTTGTTTACGGCAACACAAACAAGGACGGCGGCGTAACTCACCTAATGCCTAGACGCGAAACTAACAAATCAGAAGCATAAGGAGTGCCAAGTACGTAGTATGCGTCAGTGATTAGCTCGGACATTGTGGTACCTTTTTTGCGAAATTAGACGTAGCAGTGATGTACAACACGTGTTGTCAACCAAGACCCGTCGAAACCTCTTAGGGAAAGAATGTAAAAGCCAATGGTAGTTCTTATTAAGGAAACCTGATCCAAGTTGTCAGATGGTTTCCACTGAAATGTGAGACCGGATATGATAAATGGTTCAAGGAAAAGCTGTATTAAATTTCAGAAATAACGGCCCAAAAAGGAAGCAAGAAGATGAAAATCAGGTCGAATAAAAAAAGCCCGGAAAGGGAGAACGGGTACAAATTTCGTCTGATAGCTAGACCAGTAATTTCAGGGTATATCAGTCTAGCATAATAGCACAAAACCAAGCACAGGGTTTTGATTAGAGGCTCCGAAATGACGCTCGTCTATCTTTTAAGGAGTTCACGTGATCGTATATCCTGTAAGACCGAAAAGACAGGTTTGTTTAAAAGGAACACAAAAACGGGCCGCCGGGATAAAGAAAACGGGAGGTTTTGTGTCGTGGATCGAGTGTGCGTCTTCTCTTTTGGCGTTTTCAGATGAGGACAGAGGACAAAGTCGGACAGCCTACGGTGTCCTGTGGATATCGCGCCACCTCAACCACCTTCTTGATCCCCAAGCATTTCCCGTCCCCTTCTGTTCCACGAGTCTTACCTGCGCCTCTGGCGCTTCTCGTTCCCCCATTTCTATGTTCCCATCCTCTCTCAGTATATCGTTTACTTTTTGGAGTTTCTTTTTTTACTCGGATCATACCTGTACGCTGAGATTTTGATTGTGTGCATGATGGGGAAATCTAAGACTAACCGTTTAGGAAGGGGGAAAGCAAAATCGTCTCTATCCTGCTCCATTAAACCAGCAGACATTAGTTTGCAACTGGACCTTCAGCCGGAACACCAGTACGGTCCGCCTACTACAATCCCCCTTTCTGAGCCTCATGTGAGGAAAACGGGTTAATCGTCAAGCAGATATAGGCCCCCAGTGAATTTAAGCGCTAGTGTCACCCTTATGCGTTAATCGTGTCTTTTATTTTATCTGAGTAAAGTGTAATTCATAGCGGTGACAATATAGGCCAAGACACACTCAGAAATAGAAAAGGACATCCAACAAGTAGGTTTTCGTTTCTTAGTCGTCAGTGCACGCTTGCCGTGCTAATGATTGTCCTGTGGTTTGCCCATGAAAACATCGACTAACAAACCGACACGTGTCCGATTGAAATTCAATAAATGTTAGTGTTCGGATCTCAGGATATCCGTCACAGATACCAGTCAGAAGCTAGTAGCTAAGACGCGACCACACCTACGACCGACAGAATCGTTCGAACCTGATCCATTCTGAAGATGCAAGAGACAATAGTTTGTGCTGAATTGGGTGAACAATTCTGCCCTTACTCTGTAAGGGCATCCTTAATAGTTAAGATTTAAAACTCCCTCTGTCAGGCCGCTGAACAAATGGCAGGGAATTTTCACGACACTAATCGATTTATTAAGCACATCCAGTAGTGGTACCGAAGAAGAAAAAATTCGCAAAATATCGGAAGCCTTAAGTGCACACCAGAACTTTGGCCGTTATAACGAACGCCTATTTACCGGAATTATGTTGGCGAAGCATAAAATAGATTAAAACAACTGAGCAGTTAAAAACTACCAGCAACTGTTTTCGACTATCAGCCGGAACACCAGAAATTTAAATAAGTTCGTATGCCATGAAACGTGCGTCAATAGCGCTGATTATAGGGAGGAAATCGGTGTCGTGCGAATTTAATAAAGTTTTATTTGACAATGACTTTTGCTCCGAAGAATAATTAACAGTTACTGATGTCCCGTTTAGTTTGTTATTGTTAATTTACGTTTCTGTAAAGAGCAAATTACTGCTTATGCTGCCGCACAGGTTGATATATGTCGACGCTGCATTACTGTGCTTTATACTCATATCAAGGAACGAAGGAGGGAAATGGCTACTCGAATACCGTATCATTATCTCACTGATTTTGGATGTCCCGACTAATTGAAGGTTGAAATTCACTCCCTCCCAATTAACGAAAGAGAAAAAGTCGGCAAAACAGAGAATTTAGAAAACAAAACCATGCACAAGCACGGCTTCATTAACTGTATCAAATGCTTGAAAAGAATGCAGTACATCTACGAAACTCGGTACAACCGCGAATCAGTCTTTTGCGCCAGAAAATTACGACCCGAAGAGATCCCTGAGAAAAAAATAACGTCTTAATGAATCCAAAAAAGTCAAAGTAGGCCAGAGTATCAGTGTAAGGGGGCGGAGTCTGAACACAATGCACGGAAATACCTCACTGCCGAAGAAGATATCATATGACCAAGAAGCCTCAGCAGGTGTGGAGACGCCAGGTAACTATGCTGTAACAACTCACCTTGAATCAAACGATGAGACGACAGAGACAGACCCGATGTTGCCGTTTTGTAAAAAAGTGAACGTCAAGAGCCTCTAGTAGTTCGAAATAAATGTATAATCATAAAGGGTATGTCGTAGGAGCCTAAGCCAAGAGCGAGGCCCTGGATACCACGACCCTCAGGCCTGTTCCGGATGGAAAGGGAAGACGGACGCCAATTGGGACGGTGACGTATCCTGTGTGGAATAACTGGAGAAGGCTTTGGAGAGAGTTAGACGCCGGACGAGGGCACGTCCAGCGCTAGGAGAGTTGCATCCCACGTGTCAGTCTGGGAAAGTTGTAAACAGGCCTTAGATCAGGACATAGCTGACTCGATCGTGAATCTGATTAACTAATTGAAAAGTCGACTGGACGAATGTCAGAGAGCCCTGGTGTGCACGTGCAGACACTCGCGAGATGCCCAGCGTTGAAATAGGTGCTCGGAGTAGGGTTAGTGCAGGTATGCCTGAGTCTGCCTCGGACACCCAAAAGAACCGAATAGACCACGATATGGAATTATTCTGGCAATACCTCGATTTGCTTTTAAATGAAAGCGGGAACGTCACCGCCCTAGACGCTCTAAGGATACGCCAAATAAGAGATTCAAAACTTGACTCGAGTTATCCCAGTCGGCTAAAGCCTGTTCTTTAGAACATGTAATAAACGCTACTGCTGATGAGCAGGAGAAAAGAACTCCAAAAAAATCCACCCAGCAATTTTTAGCAGGGCTTCCTGTCGGCTGAGTGGAAAGAGTGGAGGGGCCTCATAACCGAAAGCCTCAGAAGATCCATCTCAGTTGACAATACTGAACGGAGAAATCACTATTGTTCATTCCTTTGGAGACAGCCAATAACACCGAGTATAGCAGGCAGCCATATGATAAAAGAACGCTCTTTTCTGCCGAGTCATCCTGTGAAAATGATGACCAACACATCGACGTCCTGTTTGATAAGACAGTAGAAGACTTTATTTTGGGCACTGCATCAAACAAGTTACATAAAATATTTAGCGACCTCCATCCAAATATCATTCGAAAATTTGTCCGGACAAAACTCCGCCTTTTTTAGAGTATGTCCCACAAACTAGATGAGTTATAAATACAGATATCAAAAATACTGCCGAATATCACTTTTTCTTGTCAGCACCAACCCCTCCTAGCCCCGCCTAGCCCCATCAAAAATGGTGGGGCTAGAGGAGGCTATGAAGAGGCTAGGCGGGGCTATGGAAGGGGCTTTGGCGGGGCATTCAACACGACAGCCCCACCTGGCCCCACCAGCGAAATAAAATTTACAGGTATGCGGGAACATCAGAGGATCAAGTTTATTAGCGTAAAATGGCCATTTGGTGAGGGGACCAACTAGCCTTTGGGCCTGGTAAACCTATAATTAACCCTGCCAGTACCAGCCCCGCGTAACCCCCTCAAATATGGCGGGGCTAGAGGGGGTTATGATCGGGCTTGGTAGGGCTGTAGAAGGGGCTATTGTGGGGAATTGAACACGACAGCTCCGCCTTGTCCGACCAGCGAAAAAATGCGCAGGGGACGCCAGATTTCTACCCACTTTTGGCACTCCTCTAAAATATCGGCCTGTATGATGAGTCCCCTGAGGCGCACATACACACAGAATACTTGCCGGCAGAAGTTTCAGAGCTCAAAATAGGCATTTCTTGTTCAGGGGATTGATTTCCAACTGCTGTCGACGTTGAGGGAACCTCAGACTCAGGCTCTTCAGTGGCCTCATAATATGCCTTCATCCGGCGCCTAATGAGCTTGTATATGGTGGTTCGGTGAGAACCACAGTAATTACGCTTCATAATTGCTTTGGATATTTAGTAAAAAACGGTAAAAATTTCTATAAGTGGACTATGAACACCAATGCTAACTAGTACATACATAGACATACAAATCGACTACTTGAACTGGTTTGTGAGTAAATACCCAAACAATTAGCATAACATATATAAATTAACTAAGACAGTTATTAAGAACACGAAAACAGCACTGGTTGACGCACGATATTATCCGCGACCCGTGGGCGCGAACGAATGCTTTTTCCATGATTTATAAGTCACTTTTGATAAATTAGCTCCTTTTAATGCCGAAGAAGGTACAATGAGTGGTGCTTTTGAAACATAACTTTCGATGCAAATACGCTTTAAAATGTTTCAATCTAGAGGGGGCTCTGGCCCACCCAGTCCGTTCCCAGTCCTGCCTATGAAGGGGCCATGTGCTGGCAGGGTGACTACAGGGACTTGGCGGCAGACTGAGGTGCTTAATGCAGAAGTTGTTCTCGATGAATGCTAACTTTTTCGTCAAGACCGGCTGCATAAAATACGAGGACGACTGGTCAACAGAGGCATTATCGGATCAGAACACAAAACTGTTTGCTCTTTTAACTGCTGAGTAATGTGATCACAACGCAAAATGGACGGTGCAGCAAATCTGAATTACCCGACCGTATACAAGTCACC